ATGGTAAAAAATTAAAAAAAAAAAAAAAAGTTCACAGTGTGAATCTCTACACACTATTCTGTTCTACCACATGGGAGAGGCACACTGACACTGCCTCCAATCCACCATCTTGGGAAAAAATACTGTGTCTATGTTATACACTCTTATTTGTATAGAAAAAGTCTGTGTTCATATAAAGTAGACATCAGGATAGCCATTTTCTGGAGGGACACACAGTAAACCATTGATTGTAGAAACCACTAGGGTGAGACTTAAGAAGGAAGCTCATTTTTATACATTTTTTGGACAGTTTCTTTAAAAAGTGCATAATGTTGCTTGAGATCTTCGTTTTCAAAAGCATAAAAATGTGTTGCCACCTTTTAGGACTGCTGTTCTGAGCAAAGGCTTGGACGGGAGGACACTGCCTCCAAAACACCTGCCCAGTCCTTTGCCTCCTCTCCATCCCCAGCCCCTGGCCTGGCTCAGGTCTCAGAATGTCTTCACTGGGACTTCATTCTACAGCTGGTTCTCCCTCCACAGTACCACTGAAAAGATCTTTCTGGCGCCCAGATCTGACCTGTCCCTCCCCTGCTCAGCCACTTGTTATGGCTCCCCATTGCCTTTGGGTTGAAAGGGAAGCCATTACCATTTTCCCACATCTTCTACAGCCAGACCCTGCTTTCACCTCCATTATTATTATCTCATCATAACTCAGTTTCTTCCTCTCTCATTATCTCTCTGTCTCCTTCTCTTCCCTGCTCTCTTTATCTTGCTCTCGCTCACTTTCCCTCCCTCTTACTTCTTTCTCCCTTTATAACCATCTCCTTCACCCCATGCCCAGACTCCTCCTCTCTCTCTCCCACCCCTCCTTTCTGCATCTTTGCCCAGGCTGTCTCTTTGGCCTAGAGCACTACCGCATTCAAACATCTGCTGATCACCATTCAGAGTTTCAGTTGAGCTGCTTTATTATTTCGGTTTTTTACTTTTTTAGAGATGGGTTCTTTCAATATTGTCCAGGTATATCTTTTTTTTTTTCTAATGGAGTCTCACTCTGTTGCCAGGCTGTATTGCAATGGCACAATCTCCGCTGACTGCAGCCTCCACCTCCCAGGTTCAAGCAATTCTCCTGCCTCAGCCTCTGGAGTAGCTGGAACTACAGGTGCGCACCACCACACCCAGGTAATTTTTGTATTTTTAGTAGAGACAGAATTTTACCATGTTGGCCAGGATGGTCTCGATCTCTTGATCTCATGATCTGCCCACCTTAGCCTTTCAAAGTGCTAGGATTATAGGTGTGAGCCACCACGCCTGGCTCCTAGGTTCATCTTAAACCTGGCCTCAAGTGACCCTCCCACTTCAGCCTCCTTAGTACTTGGTATCACCGGCATCAGCCACCACATCTGGCTTGAAACACTTTCCATACTGCCAGCCATGTTTCTCTTGCTCTCAAATCTGTCCTTGCCCATGTGAACTGGGAATGCCCTGCCCTGGGACTGTTCCCACTAGGCTGGGAGTACCTGGAAAACACATCCCTGGGCAGGGTTCTTTCCAGGTCTCCAGAGCACAGAAAGGTGCTGGGAACAGAAGTGGCATTGGAAAGGCATGTGGAAGAGTTTGCTGAATGAAGACTGGATGGATGAATGATGCAGGTGTCCTAGACAAAAGATAGATGACTTGTACCCCCAGGTCTCTCTTACGAATCCCTGGACTGGACTGCAGGGTAGGAAATAGGGAATAGAAGAGCAAACATTCAGGAAGTAAAGATGCTTGAAACAAATGATAATTCACACAAAAGAAAGGAGTGAAAGGAAAATTCATTGACTGAATGTGTCTAGGTGTCACCATCTGCTTTCATATATTGTCACCAAATCTCTCAGTAGGCTAGGTCTTTCTGTCCCAAAAGCCTGCAAACATTCCCCTGCTAGCCAGGCTGGATACCAGGTTCTGCCTCTGGGCTCTGCTCCTAGTGCTAGTAAGCAATAATGGAAGAATTGACAAAAACAACTTCCCTCCTCCTCACCTGAGCAAACACCCAAGAAGTGAAGACGTTTGAAAAAAAATGATATTTCTGGGAGAAAAGAGAGTGGAGGGGAAGTTCATTTGCTGAATATATGCTAAGTGGCATTATCTGTCCTCACATATTGTCACCAATTCTCTCAGCATTCCTGCCCTTTCGGTCCTAAAGTCCTGCAACCTTTCCCCTGACAGTTGGGCTGTGTATCAAGCCCTGCCTGTGGTCCTCTGTTCCTATACCCACTAAGCAATAGTGGCAGAATCAACAAAAACCAACTCCTCTTCCCCTCCCCACCTGGAGAGCAGAGCCAATGAGAGGAGCTCAGGAACAGCCACCAGCACCTGCACTCACCATTCAATCTCTTTAGGCTCACGGTCCTTCAGAAGCTCTTGCACCTCCTGCCGGCAGCGCTCCTGGTATTCTGGGTGCCTTGCGAGGTTGTACAGGACCCAGGAGAGGCCACTGGCCGTGGTGTCATGGCCTGAGGGGAAGCAAGGCAGGCTTGGGTCTCCAGGCTGCTTCAGCAGCAGAGGGTGGACAGCGCCCACATATTGAGACCCTCAGGAGGATGGAGGGAGGGGGAAGATGGGCAGCATGGAGTGATCCACAGTCCACCCACCAAGTTCCTGAGACGGAGGAACCTCTGTCTCCACTGTAGTCCCACACTGGGACCCTCACCTGCAAACATGAAGGTGTCAGCCTCTGCTCTTATATCCTCATCTGACAATGGCTTCCCATTTTCATCCTGAAGAGAAAGTAAGACACACACACACACACACACACACACACACACACACACACACACATTATACTGTCTCTGAGACCCCCGAGTCTAACCTAAGACAATCTCTGACGATCTGATCTTCCGGAAACTCAAACCCACTCTGCACTTCTAGATCTCTCCTGGTCACCATCACCAGAGCCCCGACTCCAAGGGCTTCCCCCCAGCTCCTTTGCCTCCTCTTTGGTCCCTGGCGGCAGGAATTGATGGCTCTTGAATACTTTCATATTTCTGCATAATGCAGACTTTCAGAGAAAAAGATATTGGCAACCTAGGGTACAGGATGTTTAAATGGCAATTTGCCTTTGAGTTTAGAAATAATGTATTGCTCCAAAGATACTTGCTCACATTCTAGAGTGGCAAACTCAGAGAATCTTATCTTTCCAGAAGATGTTTGGGTTACAAAACTGTAGAAATTGCCATCTCACTGGAGAGGAGTAGTTTATACTCCAGAACAAAGCGTTCTCTCTCTCTCTCTCTCTGTCTCTCTTGCTCACTCTGTCGCTCTCTCTCTCTTTCTCTCTGTCTCTCTCTCTCTCTCTGTAAGAAAGAAGGAGTGTTAACAGCTAGCTGTCCTACATAAGCTATAAGACTCAGAATGTAGCAGCCTCTCTCCTATGGTGCAAATTCTTGTGCATTTACAGGTAAAAACACTGTGTTGCCCTGGGAATGGGGAGCCAGCTGTACGGTCCTACTCCACCTGCTGTTATTGCTGTAAATAGCTAATGGGCTGCTGTGGTCCAGTGCTTTGGTGCACCTGTCATCATAGATAGAGACAAAGACATAGACATACAGGTATACATAAAACTGTGGAAGACTAACTTACTAACTTGTAAGTTGAGTAAAATCTTAGGCTCTTCACAGTTTCAGAATTAGCAGTCCCTGCAGGCTGCATTCAACAGAGTCATCTCTAAAACCTATCTGTGACCTTCACCTTCTCAAGCATCTCCATGGTTCCCAGTGCCCTTTGGATCAAGTCCAATTTATTTCATCCGACATTTGACATCAAGCTTCATTCTATCACTTTAATTCTGATCGTAGAGAAACCCACCTTGCTCAGCAGAAGCACATCAATGAAATCCAAAGTCTTGGACTTGGCTTTGTCTTTGAGGAAGTCATCAATATCCTGAGTGGGGAGGGTGCGGCGCCGCTCCTGGATGACAGCGTCTGTGAAGTCGTGCACCAGGCGGCAGGCCTTGCGGAAGCGCCGCGAATCGTGGGTGAGGTAATACAGAAAGTCCATGTGCTGGAGGAGATGCTGGGTCCTTTTTTCTACAAGGGCACTGAGCTCCAAGATGGTGGCAATATATTCACTGGACCTCCTGCAGGCCGAGGATGGAAAGGGAGGGAACAGTTGAACATATGCAAAGCTTTAGGAACTCCAGCAGCCAGGAGCTACCACCTATCAGGAAACTGAGTATCTAGAAACAGATGGTCCTAGAGATACACAGAGGGTATCAGTCATGAGATTGACTCTCCAGACTCTTCCCTCCCTGCACCCTCTTTCTGAGAGCTGTCTTCATGCACCAAAGCACCCAGAGCATAGGTTGGACACCACGTTTCTCTCTGTCTCCCAAGCAGTGTCCAGTACTGATCATTTTCCAACACTGTCCACACAACTCAGACTTCGTCTCCTTCCAATTCATCCCTGCTCCAGCCCCACCATAACCAACTCTCTCTCTGTCCCTCTCTCTGTCCCCCACCCCACCTTCCACCCTGTAATCCCAGCACTTTGGGAAGCCAAGGCAGGCAGATCACCTGAGGTCAGGAGTTCAAGACCAGCCTGGCCAACATGGCGAACCCCCTCTCTACTAAACATACAGAAATTAGCCAGGTGTGGTGGTGGGTTGTCAGTTTCCCACACAGCTCAGCTCTCACTTTGTAGTTCCATCATCAGCTGAAACTACAAAAGCTCTCTGGAAATCTCTTGATAAACTTCATACCACTGCTCCTGATTTTCAGTGTCCTAAATATCTAACTCTGCCTACTTCCACAACCTCATTTCTCCTGTCTGTTGCACATGCTCGGCTCATCCTAACCTTCTTGCTGTTACTCAAACATTTCCACCCACCTGGAAAGACAACACTTTCTCGCTTTCTTGACCTTCAAAGCCCAGCTGTGATACAAATCCTCTCAAAAGGTACTTCTGGTTACTTTGCTCATTCCTCCCTCCCCAGCTTACTCCCTTTGGTCCATGGACTCCCATCCCAGGCCCTGGGAAGGAACTCACTCCTGACAATGGCTGTCAAAGCTGAAGATGCATTTCTGCAGACTGTCCAAGGTCATGAGGCTGATGTGCTCAAACATGTCCAGACGACTGCTGCCCTCTGAGGCCAGGCGCTGCCACTTGTCCTGGCCAGAGAAGGGAAGACAGCTAGAGCCAGACCCTGCATTCTTGGTGCCCCTCCCCAGCCCCAAACATCAGGATGGGCTCCCAACAACCAACCTCCTGGTCCTCTGCCCCAGAAACCCATTGCCAACGAGGACCAGACTTGGATGGGAGCAGAAGCTGTTGGTATTAGGAGACGAAGACCCATGGCTGGGAGTCAAGAGACCTGCATTCAAGTCTCAGCTCTGCCTCCTATGCCCTGTGTGCCCATGGTCAGCCTATTGCCCTCCTCTAGGTCCCACCTGTCAAATATTCAATAACAGTGACAAGTCTGCTTTGGGGCCAGATAAACCAGGATAGAATCTCTGCTCCACCACTCCTAGCTCACTTATTAACTGGTTGACCTCTGTCCAGCTCCCTAATCTCTCTGACCCTCAGTTCATCATCTGCATTAGGGCAAAAATAATCAGAGCCTCACAAGGTTATTAAAATTAAAGTAGACAACATATATCCTGGCATTGGGACATGGCGTTTTTTCAGGCATATGGTGAGTGCCCAGTCAATGTTCGCTTTATTCATCTCCATTGTGATAAATGCACTTAAAAAATATCCCTGTGTTGGAAGAGGCACTCCTTCATCAGCCCTGAGCATCCTTGCTGGGTATGCCACCAGTGCAAGACCGTGGTGTTCTTACTTGAGCCATGTCTCAGAGTTGTGTTTGCAGAGAACAACCTGGAGAGATAAGGCAATGACTCCCCCTGGATTAACATCAGGCTTGTTTCTGCTGCTATTAAAGCGGATTCCCTAAGCCTAGTGCCGGTTGTATGCCATGCAGTGTAGTGCATGAGCAGGCTGCTATAGAGGCCCATCAGTGTCCCCCATGGAATTTAGGTTGACTCAGAAAAAGGATACAAACCAACAAGAAGTACATGTTGCCTATTGTGCCATGAGTAATCAACTACCCTCTGTCTCTGACCCAGGAGTCTTGTGTCTTCTATTAGAATGCATGAAACAGTAACAATCTAACTTATCAGCTTGCAAATTTAAAAAACAACCTGGACACTTCACAAAATCCTGACCCCTCCAGTTCTTCACTTCTCCTTGTATTTACACCCTTTGCATAGTAATTTTTCAGCAACTCCCATTAAGAGATGGATTCTGTTTTACGCCCCTGTAAGTCTGTGCTGGACTTCTGACTTTCTTTGGCCAATACAATGTGGTGAAAATGATGATATAATATCGCTAATAGACCTAAGGCTGCTTGAACTTTGAAACAGTGCAGAGACACTGTCCACAGACATTGCAGCCTCCTCACAGTTTCTCAGAAGCCAGTCTCTGCCATGTGAACGATAGGGTGCCTTCTGGAGGCAGAGAATCACATGGGGAAAAGTCCACATGTCATAGCTGAGGCCATCCTAGATCAGCCTGAAGCTAGTGAAGCCCCAAACTGTGAATGAACTGAGCCAGGATGAGCAAAGCTGCCGACCTGATCCACAGCAGCTCATGTACCAACAGTGATCCCTTCCACATCCAGAAGAACTGGCCAACTGTCTCACAGACTCGTTAGCAATCGTAAACCCTTATTGCTCTAAGCCAGTGAGTTTTCAAGTGGTTTGTAATCACCAAAGACGATTATGCAACCTTCATCTTTACTCTCTTGCATTTACATGGCTTCCGTGAGAAAAACACAGAAACTGACACCTTCTGACTATCTGCTCTGTGCTAGGGACATGACTCTTGCATTATCTTACCACCTTTTAAGTAGAGATTATTATTCCTGTTTTGCAGACGAGGAAACCAAGGCTCAGAGAGGAACAGCAATGTCTCAATGCCACCCAGCAGAGCCAAAATTCAGAGCAGATCTGTCCGTGGTCCCTCCACCCCAAGACTCCAGCTGGGACCCAGGGTTCAAGGGACTCACGAGCATGATGTTCACACTGTCATTGAAGATCTTTACATAGGGTTTCAGGATGTTGAAGTGGAAGGCGGGTGTCAGCATCCGACGGCGGTGGCTCCACTTGTCAGCAGCAGTCAGCAGTATCCCGTCTCCTAGCAGGGTAGCCAAGGACAGTGGGCAAGAGCGGCACCTTCCCCAGCCCCAACAAGGTCGTCCCCAGCCCCTTCCACCTGCAAGCACTCACCCAGCCAGGGCTTCAGGAACCTGATGAAGAGCTCATCCTTGGGCGCATTGGCAGCTGGTATGAATAAGGACCATCAGAGGCCATGTAGAGAGCAAGAGAGGAAGTTCAGGCATAGGGGGAGGCTCCCTATCAGCATTTTACCCACTCCATGCCCAGGATAGCAGGAAGGGGACCAAGGGCAGAGGAAGAAGGGAGGATAGAGGAAGAAGGACCAGTCCAGGCCACAGCAGCACAGTAAAGCAATGACATAAGCTAACAGGGCATAGCACACCCCAGCACACCCTGACATGTCTCCTACAGGGCCTAGCATGTGCAACACCCGAGCACAGCTCCACACTCTACAAAATACCTTGAAAGGGGCCTTTAAACACCTTTAAAGGGACATGTCTGCCCCAGTACTCTCTATCATCTCCTGACATGGACCTGGGACCTGGGCCATGTCCCCAACATAAGTTAACATGCTGTGACATGACACAACACACATGATCCCTAAACGATACATCGTCCAACATGGACCTGAGGTAGTCTGACATGACCTCACAGACAGGCCCCAGGTGGGATTTAAATATGATTTCTTAAATGTCCTGGACATGTCCCAGGTATAACCAAGACTTTTCTTGAAGGGTGATTGGAATGGATTCTGAGACCTGGCTCAGGAAGACTAAAATCATAACTCTGACAATTCCAAAGGGACCCTGGGTCCCAGACCTTGGACAAGCCACAAACATGGCCACGACATGACAAGAAAAAGAAAAGACAATTTCAAGTCACAGGTCAGAGAAGAAGCAGAAAGTCTGGGGCATGCCCCAAGTGTCCTTGCCCACAGCTGAGCCACACACATGACGACCTCTCCATATGATCCCGGGTAAAACATGCCAGATATAGCCAGGTATAATATAGAACTCATAGGCTATTTGTAGGACCCCCTTGGGGAAAGGTGAGCTTTCTGACAAGAACTGAGCTACTGGGACCCATAGTTGACACCATAAAAAAAGAGCTGCCTTAAAAGGAAAAGTGATGCAGAAAAATGGTGAAATTAAGAAAAGGAAACAGATTCCTGATGATGTTCATTGACACCTGGATCCAGCCACGCCTGAAGACCACCCTGCCTTGACTTTACACTCCTTTGATTCTCTTTATTTGCTTAGAGCACATGAAGTTGAGTTTCCATCACTCACGACTGAGAGAGACTTCAGCAGCCAGAGAGTGTTGGTGACTTGCACAGTGACTAAGCATTCTGGGGTCAGAGCCATAGTTTCTGTGGGATGCTGCCCCCTCCTCTGCTCATCCTGGTCTGTCCAAGGGGGAGAAGAACAGAGAGCAAGGGGAGATCAACCGGCTTGTGTGGGATCTCCCATCGGAGATTCCTAAAACCTGTAGGAGAGCAGTAAACTTGGTGTGGATGAGCGTCAGGATGAAGTGGAAGGAACTGACCTATCATAGGTGGACGTCACACAAACAGCAGCCCAGATTCTCCACCAGCCACAAGTCCTCCTACTGCTCTGGGCTGAGGGCTGGACAAGGCTGATGTCAGGACTGGAGGGGCCCCCAAATACCAATGATGCCCACTGCATCATCCTGCCCCACACTTCAAAAACTCCTACTCATGAGTCCAGACCCAGCTCCAACAACTCCTCCAGGAAGCCTTCCAGCCTGCCCCAGCAGACGCCCAGTTCTCCTCTGGGTTGTCACACCCATCTCTGTCTTGCCCACTCCTGACCCAAGGAAGCTAAAACTCTTCCTGTCTAGACCCATCTCCTCAAGCATGGGCTTTCCTTCAAGAAAGGGCTTTGGATTGAGGCCTCTTGGAGTTCCAGTGGTGCCCAGGACACCAAGACAGGGAGCAAATGGCAATGGAGGGAGAAGACATTGAGATGGAAGTCTCAATGAGGGGACTGGGTACTCAAGGAGGGGCCTGGGTACTGAAGGGACCACACAGAAGCTTAGCCTGGCACCCACCACCACAGGCTGTGCATGGGTACCTGAGGCATTGGTGATAGACCGGATGATGTCAGGGTGGCATAAAACAACGAAGGGGATGATGGGACCCAGCCATATTCTGAAGCCTGGGGAGTAGGTGGCCGATAACTGGGTCAAGTTCTTCAAGCCCTCCTCTGTAGGACCGATCTGAAAGCAAGTCAGGGAATGTCACCTCCTGTGATGGTTAAATCCAGGCTAAGGGATGCCCAGATAGCCAGTCACACATTATTGCTGTGTGTGTTTGTGGGGGTATTTCAGGAGAGAATAGCATTTGAGGGTACACTGAGGAAGGAAGCAGTAGGCAGAGAAAAGTGAGTGAGTGGCAAGAGGAATGAGTGACTGGGGAGGGGAGTGAGCAGGGAGGGGAATGAGCGGGCGGGGAGGGGAGTGAGCAGGGAGGGGAGTGAGCGGGCGGGGAGGGGAGTGAGCGGGCGGGGAGGGGAGTGAGCGAGCGGGGAGGGGAGTGAGCGGGCGGGGAGGGGAGTGAGCGGGCGGGGAGGGGAGTGAGCGGGCGGGGAGGGGAGTGAGCGGGCGGGGAGGGGAGTGAGCGGGCGGGGAGGGGAGTGAGCGGGCGGGGAGGGGAGTGTGCGGGCGGGGACGGGAATCAGTGGGCGGGGAGGGGAGTGAGCGGGCGGGGAGGGGAGTGAGTGAGCTGCCCCTCTCGCTCCTCTGCCGTCCCACTCCTCAGCCACCCTCATTACTCAGCTCCCTGAGCCCCATTCCTGCCACTCTGGAAGTCCATCCACCCTCAGACCCCAGACCCATTTTGCCTCCACACTCACCAGGCCCAGGTGACCCAGGAACCAGTTCCGTACTGGGGGTTGTGGGAAACACTGGAGCCGGCGGCAGTTGTCGTAGAAGGTGTAGGTCCAGGACAGGACGCGGGCCAGCAGCCAAGAGACCCCGACCAGCAGCAGGAGCAGCCACGGGGACGCTACCACGGGCCCGAGGCTCAGCCAGGACAGGCTCAGCAGTGACATCCTGCAGGGGGATGGGATGGAGGGTGAGGTCCTGAGGCCCAGGGAAGAGCTGGGGTAGCTAAGGGGACAGCAGAGAGGGGCCAGGTCAGGAAATGCAGGAGGCAGGGCAGGGAGGGCTCAGGGATGGGTAAACAAGGGCTGAGATCTAAAGTCCAGAAAGGCCCAACCAAAACCAACAACCAAGCGGCCTCCAGTGACCTGGTAACCACACAGAAAGGGAAAGAGACAGGAGCTGATTAGAGTCCAGGAAGGCCCACCCTGAATCCTTAGGCTTTTGCTAGGCATTCAGTTACCAAGAAACCACCACTCTCCCAGGCCCGCAGCCTACAGTCACCCAGCCTTGGGTGGTGCCCCTCCCCATCCCAGGCCAGGACCCTCCAGTCCCACCAGCTCCAGCCTGGCACCTTCTGTCAGGAGCAGCTTGTTCCACACAGCCTCCTCTCCTCTTCTGCTGGAAAGTCTTTGCCTCTGGCCTCTGATCTAGGGAAGGCCCTGGGAAGCTGGGCTGGGCTGGGCCAGCCAATCCCCACAGCCTGGGTGTGTCTTCCGTGCCCAGGCAGCCACCCAAACCCTGGGGTTGGGCCAGCTGGGTGCAGATGGACCCGCTCAGTGTGCCCCAGCACGAGCACTGAATTCTCAGGTCTCAGCACCTTCCTGGCAGTTTGGAGGAGAAGTTGGGGTGTGGTTAAAGGAGACTCTGAACCCTAAGTTTACAGCCACCCTGCCCTTCCACAAGGGTGTTCAGATAAAAGCATGAACTTATGAGAGTTCGCAGCCAGCTGAGCTGGGCCAGGCAGACCTCTGTCCCAGATCATCCGGGTTCCTCTCCAAATATGGGCGGGGAGCATGTCAGGCACCGTTTCTTGGTGCAGACTTAGGAGGTTCAGAGACAGAAGCGTCTGACCTCTGACTTCACAGCCTGGCAAGAGTTCAAGCCCTGCCTCCAGGCAGCCCAGGGCCTGAGTTGAGAACTGACTTCTGGAAGCAGGAACAAAGAATCCAGCCCCAGCCCCACTGAGAATTACCCGGGTCAGATTCTGGTGATGAAGAGCCCAGCTGGAGGAGCAAACCCAGAGGCTGGGCTCAGCTTAGGAGGCCAGAGCAGAGGCACAGAGGATGAGGCTGAGAGGGACCGGATGGGGTCCAGGCAGGGGAGGGCAGAGCAAGGGGCCCTGAGTGGAGTCCTTGTTCTGCCCTGTCCTTGCTTTGACTGTGGGCAGTGCGGCCCTCCTGGGCTCAGGCTCCCCATCTGGGAAATGGGATGTCACATGAGGCCTTAGGGGGTGACAGAAGAAGGCTCTTAAGAAGAGGGAGCACCAAAAAGAGGGGCTGAAGGGAAGGGAATGGCAACTAGCACTTGAGCTGCTGCGTGCCTGTCTCTACTCTGTGCAAAAGACTGTATGGAAAGTACTACTGTGTGCACCTACTGTGTGCCAGTCTCACTATATAAAGTGTACCTACTGTGTAGCAGGTACTCTACTGAATTCTGTCTACTATGTGCCAGGCGCGCCACATGAAGTCCACCTACTAGGTGCAGCATGCTCTACATAATGTAAGCTTACTTTTTGCAGAGTACTTTATATAAAGCATGCCTACTCTGTGCCACGTGCCGTATGTAAGGCATACCTACTGTATGTCAGGTGCTGTACGTTGAGCATGTCTACTGTGTACCTGGTGACCTACATAAAGCACACCTACTCTGTGTCAAGTATTGTACATAAATCTGGTCTACTGTGTGCTGGCTACTCTGCATGTAGTGTACCTACTGTGTGCCAGGTGCTCCCGATAAAGAGTGTCCACTGTATGCTGATTGCCCTTCACAAATTCTGTATCTTGAGTCCTGGCCCTTTATATAAGCCATACCTGCTGTGTGCCAGGTGCTCTAAATAAAGCACACCTGCTGTGTGCCAGATGTTCTACATAAGATGCTTCTCCTGTGTGTTGAGTGCTCTACATAAAGCAAAACTACTCTGGCAGCATACTTCACATAAAGCACACATATTATGTGCCAGGTACACTATTTAAAGTGTGCCCAATATGCTACATGAAGAGTACCTACTGTGTGCCAGGTGTGTCACATAAAATGTACCTACTATGCGATAGGCACTCCACATAAAATACACCTACTGTGTGCCAGGTGTTTTACATAAAGTGCACCTACTATGTGCCAGTGTGCCAGGTGTTCTACATAAAGTGCACCTACTATGTGCCAGGTGCTTTACATAAAGTGCACCTACTGTGTGCCAGGTGCTGTACGTAAACTGCACCTGCTTGTAACAGATGCTCACCTGCATCACAATGCCCAAAGCTGTCCCAGCACCCTCTCATCAGCTCTCTAGGCCAGAACCCTGGGGATTGTTGAAGAGACCGGAGTGATGGCATCCAGAGGAGGGAAGATGTCCATTTAACCTGAAAGCAAACTGAGTCTCAGAGTGGGCAGGCCTCTAGCCCAAGTTGCAGAGCTTGCAGGAACTCAGGTCCGTAAGAGCCTCAAGTCCAAATCATTTTCCTTTGCCATGCTGCCTTACCCCTATTCATTAGGGTCAATGCCGTATTAATACTGGGACATTTATAATGAAAGAATCTCAGGTAATGTGGCCCAGAGGAGAAATATCTGGAGGCCATTGGATCAGCACCTGGCTTCTCCTCCCACACCCAGGATGCTCCGTCCAACAGACCCAGGGCTCCCCCGCTGGCCCTCCTTGGATCCTGTCCAGAATTGCCCTGTGGGGTGGACTTGGGAGAGGGGGGTCTTGAAGGATGGGGCTCCTAGCAGAGCTGCTGAGCAGGACGGTGGGGAAGACAGTGCTTCTGACACTGGCCAGGTTTTGGTGAGCCCCTAGTCCTCCCCCACCCTACTATCACTGCCAGCTCAATCAGCCAGGGAATTCAGGCAGCTGGCCCTACAGCCTCAGTGAGGTTGGGTGTATCCGCCAAAATCCCCACACCCTCTGCAAGGACAGACCTCACCTGCTGGCGGTTCCATCCCTGTTAGGCTCAGGGAGCAAAACCAGAGCTTGATGAACAGGCAGGGTCCTAGGGACACAGAAGAAAGCTCCTCCGGTGGCTAGCATGGCTCAGCTCACTGTAGACCTCCTGTGTGCCTGGGATGGGCAAGCAGCCTAGAGCAAGGAATGGCGGCCATCGACATTGCCAACATGAGTCGTGGAGCCTGTTTTAGGTCTTTTAAGTATATTGACCATTTTATCATTTTACAAATGAGAAATCAAGTCTGGAAAATATTTAAGTGACTACCCACAGTTACACAGCTGGTGGAGCTAGGCCGCGCACCCAGATCACCCAGCCAGCCTCACATTGTGCCCCCCTCACCACTGGGCTGTGCGCCTTCACGTCTGTAAATGGGCGTTTCCGCAGTACCGTCTCACAAGGTTGTCATAATAACTAAAACAGATGATGACTGCAAAATGACATTTCAGGGATAACAAGAAGGGAGCTTGGGGGAAGTTCATTTACTAAACATGTGTTAAGTGGCATCATCTCCCCTCACACACTGTCACCAATTCTCTCAGCAGGGCAGATCTTCTCTGCCAAACAGCCTGCAACTTTTCCCCTGATAGCCAGACTGGTATTATACCCTGCATGTTGTCCTCCGTTCCTATTCCAACTAAGCAGTGGTGGCAGAACACCTCCCCCCGCCCACCTGCGGAGCAGAGCCATCAATGTTGCCAACATGAGTCGTGGAGCTAAGAAACAGTCACCAGCACCG